AGGAGGAGAAAGAGAAGGAAGAAGAAGTTGCCCAGGCCAGATCATATGTTTTAACAATTGAAATGATGTTTAAATAAAAAGGTCTTTACCTGGCGCCGAAAAACCAGTAACAACGGTGCCAGGCGGACCTCCTTGCATCTGGCCAGAGAATCATCCTGGCCACAGTACAGAAAGTAAAGGATTCCCTCTTTCAGGTTCACTCTGGCTGAAGAATAATGATCGTGGTAGATTTTTTTTCCCCCCGGGTCTAAACATACATAAAATTAGCCAGCTAACGGGCAAAATTGCTGCATTCAGATACGTGGTACATACATGGAGAGTGTGTCCTTATTTGGTGAACACAAAGGCTGGGTTCACACAATCACCAGGAAAAAGAAGTGAACATGCCCCATGCTGCACGATTTATCCAATTCTCCCCAGCGTGCCTGGGTTGCCACGTGCGCGCATCTGCCGGGGTACAGGATGGGGTGCCTCTGAGCCACGGCAGACCCCATGGTTTGCTATGGGGCGGGGGGGGGGGGGGGGAGCCACCCCAGGAGGTACTTTGGATGATATGGCAATCCACACACCACAAGGGGAGTGGGGCAAACCATGAGCTGGCATGTGAGAGGAGGGGGAAGCCGCGAGGGGGGCCTTCTTTCTCCCAGTGACCACGCAAACCCTGCCAGACTGTTGCCTCCACAACCAATTGTGTCTTCGGGAGTGCAGCTTGCTGCTTCTAACACAAGGTGGGGCTGCAGTTTGCGTAACTGTTTTCACATCTCCACCGTTCTTGTTTGCTAAGGGAGAGAGGCCCTGTTTGCTGCAGCCATGACAGAGTATCTTGCGGCACCTTTAAGGACAGACTGATTGCAGCCTAAGAGGGCTTTGGACCAATACAAACACGGGACCCCAGAATGTTAGATGGGGAGGGGATACCAGAGATCATACAGAATGACTCAAGGCAGCGATCTTAAACTGCACCTTCTGATGGATGGGCAACCTGCTTTTTCTCAGCTATACTCAGCAAGGAGAATGCACCAGCCCCAAAACTATCGGCTAGGTGAAGCTCAGTTTTAGGAAGGCTCCCAAAATATGATGCCCTCGGTTCCAGTTCCATGAAAAGATTTAATACTGAGCGCAAACCTCAGTTCCCCTTCTGGGAACCCCCAATAGCCACACCTTTTCTACTGCCCCCCTCCCCGCTCCACAAGACAGTTGCTGGTTTCCTAGCTTTTGAGCACATTCTCCCCATTCCTAGAAGGGTGACAGACCTTAGTTACAGGCATTTAGAACTTCCCCTGAGATGTTATCATGGGAAAATAAAACCTCCCTGTTGAACTCTATTAATTTTAGCACATGCACTGCCCATGCTGAGTGAAAATGCTTGTTCCCATGTGGTCCAGGCCCAGGGAAGTGCAAGGTGGCATCAGAACCCTTGGCATGTCCGAGTTCCCATGGGATTCTTGGGAAGCCTCCCTCCACGTCACCACATGCCTTTCTGGGTTCGGATAGGGAGCTGTGCACACTGAGGGCCATTGGGTATCGTTTGCAGCACACAGAGGCATGTACCGAATGGAGAAAAGCTGATATTGGGAATCGCCAGCAAGGTGTCACCACAAAATTAAAAGGAAAAAAGTCTTTGTCAAGTGCCAAAAAGAAAACTCCTGGTTTGCTGGATTCACAGCATAACTAGAGTGTTGGACTGGGGACCTGGGAGACTCGAGTTCTAGCCCCCACTCAGTCATGAAGCTCACTGGGTGACTTTGGGCCAGTCCCCTGCCTCTCAGCTAGCCCGCCTCACACGGCTGTTGTGAGGATAAAATTGAGTGGG